CATGCTCATTCAGGGTGAACCCCAAAGAGCCCGGGATTTGTGGGGGTGGAACTTGACAATGAGTCCCCTAGGGGCTGAGTTGAGCAGGCCATTCTGAATAGGAGATCTTCCTATAGACCTTTCTGGGCCTCTGGGTGTGGGACCTTTGCTCCACTTGGATTGGTGTGGCTCCCATTTCATCCTTTTCCTCTCCAGTCCTGGGAGCTGGATGCTGGTTCAGCTCTCTCCTCTAACATTAGACAGTAGCTTGCCTCACAAAGACCTCCTGGTACTCCAGGCACAGTCAGCTACCCCGTTCATGTCAGCATTGGGACCGTAGCATCTGGCACCCTATAGTCCCCCTATAGAGCTGGGTGATGGCCTGTGGCTTGTCTACAGTGACTTCTATCCCTTTCCTCTGCCTCATCTTGGCTTTCTAAATGATCATATTAAAATAACCAGGTCGGGCTTGAGAGATGGCTCCATGGGTAAGACACTGGCCACACAAACACGAAGACCCCGAGTTTGAATCCCTAGACCCATGTAAAAGCTGGGCTTAGGATGTGCGTGCTTGCCCCCTTCCCATGATACTAATAAAGCAGGTCGGTGAATGCCACCCGGTTTAACAAAGGAGTGTTCCTGTGTCTCTGGTGATGATGGCTGTCAGTGAGGTAGCTGGAGCTCAGGCAAGCTAATGAATGGCTCGACTAGACACCAACTTGGCTCTGTTTTCCTTTTCATCACTGTATTCACGGCACATCCATCTGACCTCTAGGTCAAGGGCAACAGATCCAGAAAGGTGACAGACAGGCAGGTGGGTCAAACTGGTGATCGGGTTGGGAGATAGCATAGTTGATAGAGTGCTTTTGGTCCCCAGCACTGAGTAAAAGGGATATGATTAAAGAATGTCCCCAAACCCCAACTGTGTACCAGATGAGTGTTTTGGTTTTTTTCCAGACAGGGTTTCTCTGTGTAGTTTTGGTGCTTGTCCTGGATCTTGTTCTGTAGACCAGGCTGGCCTCGAACTCACAGAGATCCGCCTGCCTCTGCCTCCCCAGTGCTGGGATTAAAGTTGTGGACCACCATCGCTTGGCCCAGATGAGTGGGTTTTGTTTGTTTGTTTGTTTACTTTTTAAGTCTTGATATGACATGAAACCCCTGCTTTCTTCTAAACCTGTCTGGCATCATAGACTTTAATGTTAGAAGTGAACCAAATGAAACACTCAGTTCACATTTTGAAGTGTTAAAGGCCCTCCTTCCATGAGCTGACCAGCCAGGGCAGGGTGCTGGTTCTGTTCTTCACCAGCCATTAGACCGGGCCTCTCTCCAAGGTCAAGACCAAACTCTGGGTAGTTTTCCCTCTTAATTTTTTCCACTTCATCAAGTTGAGGGTCTCCTACAAGACCCTCCCCATTCTTGTGGCAGCCCCTGGCTCCCTCCAAAGACTCTAGTCTATAGGAAGCCTTCAGAACATATCCCAGCGTCGTGTCTATTCCAGGCTGCACAGACCGGGGGTGGTGGGGGAGTGGGGTGGTGAATGGGGGGGGGCTGACTTGTTAAGAGAGGAGAGTTCAAAGATGGTATAAACTCTGCTTTCAAAGGTAGGGCACAGTCACAGTGTGGCTGGAGCATGAAGGGAATGGATGGACAGTGACTGCAGGGACTGGCCAGAGAGCCGCTTAGCACTGGCCTCCGCCACCTTTTGGAGGTGGGGGGCTGCTATCTATCACAGGAGGCATGAATTGCCACTAAGGAATGCTGAAGAGAGGGGATTCCTGACTTTGGAAGTTGGGACACCTTACTGCATGCCATCTAAGTCCACCGCCCCTCAACTCTGAAAGTTCATAGCCACTCTGAGGACTGCTTTAAATGGGGTATGAGGAGTTAAAGGAATTCATGGACATGAGGACCAAGCTATAAAAAAAATCTTTATTTCATGTACCAGGATTTTTTGTTTTTTTGTCATTTCGTTTTGTTTTTAGGTTTCTTCTTTTTAAAATTTTTTTTTTCTGTTAACAGTCTGGAAAAAAAAAATAAAAGGACCCACCAAGAAAATAAAATGGAAATTGGTTTCTTGAATTGAGCAGAGCTGGGCATGAGCTGTCAGTCTTCACAGGAAGCATTGTCCCTTCCCTCCAGGCCCCCTAGCCCTTTCTTGGTCAGCCACGCTGATGTCACCTCTCTCACCCACAAGTCTTTGGGTGGCCTGACCCCAGTTCTCACTGCCTGGGACGGAGTCCAGCTGCTGCTCAAATACTTGGCCAGAGCTCAGGGAGCCGGGGCCACCGTTCCTACCACAGAGAGGTGTTGATTTGTATGGCCTTCTCCTGTGTCTCTAGGCCTTGATCTGGGGTGGTTTGGAATCTGCTGGGGCTTGGGCAGGGCTGAGTGAGGAGGGATAAGGTGCTGTTTTTGCCCAGCTTGGAAGGTGCTCTGACCTCCCTGCATGTTAACGGGCCCACAGAGGTGAGCCATGGGCCGGAGGCCTCCCCTGAACTTCTGGGCTGGACTAGCAGGTGGTCTGCCTGGTGTGGACCCGAGAGGAGAATGTTCCTCTTCCAGACACAAGACAGGAAGCTATAGGAGCCTTCCTCAGCATGCCCTCCAATTCCAGAGAGTTCTATCAGAGAACACTCAGAGCAGGCTGGTGTCAGCACAGGAAAGAGAAGCAGGAAGCTAGTTGATGCTGGGGGAGCAGGACTCTCACTCGGGGTGGGGGGTAGCCTCTCACTGGGGCTGCTAGGAAATGGTTAGCCTGGTCCTTAGTGTCTGATCTGGCCCTTGCCACTTGGGGAAGGAGAAGGGGAAACCTGAGTGCTCCCTCAATTCACTCTGGAGTGCAGGCCTAACTGGGCTGACATTTGCCTGGGAGAATGTTCAGCAAACAATTTCCATACAGGGAGATCTTTCACCCCAGGAGACCCGCTTTTTCACTGACCCCAAAGACAGCAGGGGACCCATCT